ACTGCCGTTCTGTCCGCTTATTGTCCGCTTCTGACTATTTGAGCCCCCTCCGCTTGTCCCTGGCTTCTTCCCATTCTTCGCATTGTACACCGCGTTCTGATTCGCCCTATATCCTTTACCTCCAGGCACCGACATGTCCATGCCAGGGAGCTTCTTCGGCACAGGCAGTTCAGCGTGTATATTCATAGTAACAGACCCTGGGGCACCCGCACCCGTGCTTGTATCTGTGGCCGTATTCGCGCCTGCAGATGTGCCTATGCCCGCATTCGCATTCGCGTACTGGCTGGCAGCTGTACTTATCACCGTGTGGGTGTTGTCAGGCGCACCGGTGGCCGAGGGCCTACTTAGCACAGTCGGAGACCCCTTCGCGTGTGTGCTGGCATTGTCCATACCGGCGTCGATGCCTGCGATAGCTGCTCTATGCGTGTCATGCACAGTACCACTCCCATTGCCCCCACTGATATACGGTGCAGCGGTAGTACTAACGCCTGCCTTCCGAGGTTGTGCAGTTGCAGAGTGCGTATGTGGTATGCCCGTGCTGTGCGAACCGACGGTCACTGGTCGGTTGGCGGACGTGGCTGTTTTCTGCGCTTGTCCGCGCGTGCTACTGTGTGTGTTGTTCGGTCTGGCGTGTCCATTCACGGCCATACTAGCCATGCTATTGCCGCTGCTGTTATGCGTCGCACTTGCTACACCCACACCCACACCCACACCCCTGGAATCCCCACCCTCCACCCCTGCAGCCTGTGCACCATTGACCGGCCTCATACCCGGACTAGCATTCGCAGCCATCCCTGCATTCGCACTACCTACACTCGGCGAAGCATTCCCAGACGGATAGGTGCGTGCGCGTATACCCCCGCCTGTATTTGCGTTATTGTTCACACCATTACCGCCAGTCGTACTCAAGGCGGCGTTCCACTGAGCTGTAGCGTGTGTACTACCTTGGGGGCGTGTGACCGTGTGTTGATTCCCCGTGGCCGTGTTGTTGTTGCCACTGCCGGTTGTAACAGTGCCCATATGTGTACTATTTGTTGATCCATTCGCCGCAGCACCCCTAGACATTGAGTTCGGACCGATCCCGTTATGCGGTCCGGGTGCGGAATGACCACCGTCGGGGGCGCTTACTTGCACCACCGCATTCTCTCCGCTATGCGTAGCCTTCGCATTCTCGTTTACTCTCTCGTTATTAGCACCCACTATATTGTTCATCTGCTTGCTGCTACCACTGGCGTACGTGTTACTATTGCTATTGCCGTTGTTCTGCCTACTATTTGTATTGCCCGCTGGCTCACCTCTACCCGTCCCTCGCACAGGATAGTTCTCGTGGTTCGCTGAGCTCCGTAACTCCGGCACTCTCCCATTCGGATCGTGTTTATGGTGACCGTTTGACACCGCGAGTGCGCCTGTGTGCTTCGTATGTTGGTGAGTGTGCTGTCGTTGTTGCTGGTGCCGTTGGTCGTTGTGTGACTGTGGCAGGTGCACGCCGTTGTCGCTGTCGGTACCTTCCGTAATAGCCAGCGGTGATGTGGCTGCAGTATAGTATCAGAGTTCAGTTCAGTACATGTGGCTGAGGAGCTAGCGAAAGAAAGGTTAGCCACCTACTGAGACAACCCAATGACAGCAAATGGGGTGTGTTAAGTACGTAATTGCCACCTGTGTTGTGGCTGTGGTATTGCAATAGAGATCAGATAACAACATAAGGCTGATGAGCTAGAGACGAAGAAGTTAGGCGCCTACTAAGACAACCCAATGACAGCACAGTGGGGTGTGGTAAGTACGTAGTTGCCACCGGTGCTGTGACTGTGGCATTGCAATAGACATCAGATAAGGAAATAAGGCTGATGAGCTACAGACAGAGAAGTAAGGCAGCTACTGAGACAGCTCAATGACAGCACATTGAAGCGTGGCGTGTGCGTAATTGCCAGCGGTGTTGAGCCGATGATGTGGGTTGCAATGCAAACATGGAATACACGAAATAAGAGAAGCGACGGAGAAGGTTAATACCTCTCCAAAACAACAACCAAGTTCTCTCAGTCCAATAACAGCACAGGTTCAACATACCAACTGCTTCCTCACCTTGCTCTGGCATGTTCTCCAGCGCAATTCGGCTCAGTCTCTCATATTCAGCCTGTGCTGCCCTACGGTTGGGTCCATTCCCCAGCTTTCCTGGTTTGCGGAGATCCTCTTTATCGATTGGTGGCGCCTGTGGGAGAGTCAGAGGTCCAAATATCAATACACTCCCGTAACGTCTATTCTCTACAGGTAGATGGCCACATAATCACACACCAGTGACTCTGCTGTCAACGGAAAGATAAAATGCAGACAACCACATGTTACTTGGTGACTACAAACAGAAGTATATGTACATGAGCACCCGTAGCTATGTAGTCTTCATACCCAAAGTCCGATCTACAGGCTACAGTACATCACTATAATAAGCTCCATGGTAAACAGGAGTATTCATACAGTTGTCTTTCTTAGAGTTCGAAAGTACCTATACAGATATCTCTACCAGAATACAACAGTACTCACCTTTCCTGCTGAGGCTGCCATGCCTCGCATTAGCTTGAGCCAGTTCTTATCAGGTAGACAGTTGCCCAGCCCATTCCCAAATATCCTCAGCGCCCGCTTGCGCGCGTCCGTGACTGCTTCCTTCTTGGCCTGGAGTGTTTGTTTGCAACAGTAGGAAATTCAGCTTCGATTGGGTACTATAGTAGCGAGAATGACTCGTGAGTAAAATACAAATCTATCATTA